AAAAAAAAAAAAAAAAAAAATAAAATTTCAGACTGACCACATGGAGGTGGAAATAAAGTCAGGAAAAAAAAAAAAAACCTAACAAACAAACCCTGACAAGATTTAAAAAAAAGAAAAACTCATTTCCTGTCTCAGATTTTTATTTAACCTGACCAATGTTTCCTTGCTTCCTTTCATTTGGTCATGATTATTCTGCCTAGCAATGAGCAGTAGGCAAAACTTTCTTGGAGCCTTCTAGTACATTCATATGGTAATTAGAAGTCTTTTCACTACACAGGTTTTCTCTTCCAGAGCTAAGCAATCAATGCAATTAGCAGCAAACAACACAGGAGTATTTTCTAACACTTTATCATGACAAATATATTTTGCAAAACAAGTAATTACACTATTGGAAAGTCAACTGTCTTATATATCATTATAATAAGGATGCCTTTGGGTTTGCTTTGTTAATAAACATGAAACTTACATTCCTTTTGATCTACAAATCTGTTAACTTGAACATTTTTAATTTAAGTAGATTATTAGAAGGAGTCCAGGAAAGCAGCTTACATACTGAGACATAACATATTTTAATTTTAAGCAACTTAAGATGGGATTTCCCTAATACATATATTTTGAATGTAGGAGTTTTTGTGAAATCTGCTGTTCTGTAATCTGTGCAGTTAGGATTGACAGGGTTGGGCTTATTTAATGAGAAAATATGGTAAAGCAAAGAGTTTGACTAAACTTAGTGCCAGGGCCAATGTAGTGGCAAATAGTTTTATTCTCCCTCCCACATAACTTGTTCATTCGTACTCAGCCCAGATTTAGCTCAGAGCACTTCACACAAAGGCAGCTCCGAATAGGCTGAAGTCACCAGATGCTTGAAAGGTGCCACCAAAATCCAGAGATTCCAAGCATTTCTTTCTTAAAGCTCTCGTCAAAGCGATGACCATAATTGATCAAAATCTCATTTACATGCCTTTTTTCCCCCAAGGAATTGTTTGTTGAAAGCTGATAACAGAAAGGGTAATTAGAAAGTGGATAATTAGATACAATTTCCACTAGACTGTTAAGGAAAAGATGCCCCACAATTGCTATCATATTTTAGGAGAAAATTAAATGCTCATTATTGTATCTAAAAAGTCTTTCTGCCAGCAGAAAACAAAAGCAAAACTAAAATCTTTGGGAAAATGTTATCTAAATGATCACAACCTTCTTATAAAGAAATATCAAAATGTATCTAACTACTTAATACAATAACAGTTATATAAAAATATTTAGTGATGCCATTTTTTCACATGACTTTCGCTGGCTGGAGTGTCAGTAGAAACAAAAGAGATCTTACAAAATTTATATCTTCCAACCTTATAAAGAAACAACAGCAGCAAGAAAGAACATTCAGAAGTTACATTTATGATCCATAACAGGGATCTTACATTATTGAGTGTAACAAACTGTTTATCTAATAATACTTCTATATTATTTTCAGAAGAAAATATTTCTGATTGAAATATACTTATTAAATGTATTGCTAATTGTGTCTTGTGGAAATACTGTCTATAACTAAGAAAAAAAACATGCATCTCTTCTCCTGTTGGTATCCTAATTTTAGTGGCTTTTCTGACAGCATGATATAATCCTGTCTGGTACTCCTAATGTTTTCTATATAGTCACAAATCAATTATGCATTTTGATAATGCATTTTGATAATCAGAGTAAAAATGAATACACACTTTGTGGGTTGCTATCTGAGAGCACTACTTCATAATTTTGACAGGCAGAATAATCAAGCTAAACAATGAACAATGTATTTCCAAAATATGTTTCCCCACACATGTACTGAAAACATGGTTCATATGCATGCTACAAGTAAACATTGCCAAATGCTGGAAAGATTTCAGATAAAGCAAGCCTCAAATATTTGAAAGGATCAGCAGAAGTGAGTTTTAAAGATGAATTCCTCCATGGTTTTTCTCCAAAGCTGTTCTTTGTGATTTTACAAAGCATTTATTTTCTTTAGGGAGCATGATAGGTATATAAAAAAATAGTATTTTACCATAACCTTTCTACGACAGTAATGAATTAGGATTTCAAGGAAATGCAGTGGGAGAAAGCATATCATTGTTGAGTAATTCACATATTAAGTTGCCACATAAGAGTGGCAAATTGAATTGAAAATAATTACTACACTCTGGAATATATCTGCATTTTAAAATAGGCTACTGATAGGCAAATCCAAAGAATCCTCCTGCCATATTTCTTTAATGCAATCCTTACAGAGTAATGGAAATTATCTTTTCACTGTGGCTTTTTAAAAATGCAATCAGAATAGGTACTAATAAACTGATCTTTCTTTCCAGCAAGCAAATGTATTTGCTGTTTTATTCAAAGTTCACGCCAACCTACTTTTTCTTTAGCCTTCGGTCTTTCTCTGCCTGTGTTCCAAGTTTGCTTAATCCGAGAGATTCTTGTGCTGCAGCTTCCGTTTCCATATAGCCTCCTGTGTTTAAAAGAGCAAAGAGATTTTCTCCTTTTATTTTTTCTAAAGTTCTATTAGTTTACTAGAAGTGCTTTTAATTTGCTTTCTGAGACCCACACATACAGATAAAAAATAAGGTAATAACCTGAAATCTATGAAAAATACAACTAAAGAACGTAGATTCTAGTAATAACTTTTTAAAGTATCTAATTAAAAGTTATTTTCCCCCTCCATGTTTTTCTGCAAGGAGCAAGATTCAATCTTTTTCTCCTTGGTCAGGATTCCTCATCTCCTAATTTGACTTTCTGAGGAGACAAGATGCCCTTTCAAGCTAAAATGGCTCTTTTTGGCAGAAGAAATACCTAAAATAGCATTGTTTATATCCATTTTCTCCTAAATTGGCCCTTTTACAGGGATCCCTTTGTATGACATCCTAAACCTGTAACTTTGCTGAGATTTTGTTTTGTTTCACTGTGAATTAAGGCACTAAAGGCTCCACTGGATAGGAGGGAGGATAGCTTGATTGTAGGAATGGCCTTCTAGTCAGGTCACTTTTGAAGATAACCCAATGTTTTTTTTTTTTTTAAGAGAGGCATAATTCCTCATGGTGCTTTTTTTCCTCCCCCACCTTTTATATCTGCTCATCCAAATTTTGCAAACAAAACATGCCAAATCAGCTTCCACGAAGCAGGAATGCAAAGGTGATGCATACTGTAAATAGAAATTCTTCATCAACTATTGTCTAATTTCTGAAAGGGAGTTTGGTCTTTCCTGAATAATAAAAACTGTTGGCAAGTACATGCTAGTTCTTTTTTTTTTTTTTTGGTAGATTGTGTCCAGTACAGATCAAACTCTACCTTAAAGACTGCATCATCATTATATTTGGCTGCACCAACACTTAGGCATGTACATTTAAGATCTATACTTGCTGTGTTATACTTTACCACTGTATTATTTTAAATTAAAAGCAATATTCCATTGTAGCATTTGCAGACATTTTTTTAAAAGATATGTTCGTGTTTTTTTCAGTTTCCAACTGGAAAAAAATGGTTTTTGCTCATATCCATTTTGAACAGTTTAATACATTATTTGAAATTAAGGAAATAACTGTATATTATAGATGAACAACATGTATAGTAAATGAAACAATCCAAGAAAGAGACATTAAAATGTTTCTAGAAATAGGCTAAGGTACTGCAAAAAAAGATAGACAAACATGATTAATGAAAAATAGTGGTTCAAATATAGGAGAAATATGGAGAAGTATGGAGAAGAATAGTGAAGGGGGCTGGTATAAACCAGATTTATTTAGACTTCCTTTTTTGGGGGTGGGGCTTTAATATTTTTTTCTTATTTCTCCTTAATCTTTTTCTCATGCTCTGCATAATATTGTGTACTCCAAAAGGGAACATAATGGCTATGTATATATGTATGGCTGTTAAGACATATAAAGCAAAGTCATTTTGCAAATAATTTAACAATAAGCAATACTAAAAGATTTCCTAAATAACAAGATACAATTTCTGATTTTGTCTTACCGCTCACTGAGGAAGAAAGGTGGAGTGGGACTGATCCTGCCATTGCTGGTCCACAGAATCAGAAAGTGGGCCTGCAGCTGCAGTGAAGGGATGGCATTGAAGGGCAAACAGGATTGTGATCAGATGGTATTTAGTTTAGCACTGCCTGCCATCCTGTCATGTGATCACCCAGACAGACAAGCTGTACTTGGAGATGATAAGGTTGGTTTGGGAAAATCATGGGGAGCGGAAAGAGTAAGCAATTTCTTGCACAAAGAGTTTCCCACAAGGGGTGTGGGGAGAGAAAGGAAGTGAAGAACAGGCTGATTAGCTGGCAGGAAGAAAGAGCTGGAGTTTTGGAGAAAAAGAAGATGGATACAGAACTGAGAAATATTTAGATAGTTTTGGCAGTTGAAGATTAATGGTTTGACAGTAGATCATGATCACTGAAGTGTTCCAGGGTGAAAGCAGGATCATTAAAAATGGGGGAGGACCAGATTGTGAGAGATTATGACTACCAAATCACAGAAAGAAGAGCAAAGGAAGAAAGAAGCTCAACATGCCTCTAAAGGTAACTGATTAATTCCGGATGGGGGAGATTAGGAGTAGCCACACAGACAGCTATAGGCCTAATTGCCTCATTAGGCAAGGGAATCTTTAACCTCAGAATGCTAGAGCAAGCAGCAGGTCCATTTCCTGTTGATTTTACTTCATACCATAATCCTTATAGCCAAAACTGTAAGAGAGAGCTGGGAGGAAGAGATCTGTTTCGTGTGTTTGCTTAAGTTAAAATGCTGCTTTCAGGATTAGTCCCGCATGGCTGAAAGAGAAACCAGTGTTTTCTATTTGTGCTATGAATACAGCAACAAAAAAAAAATTAAAAGAAAGTTTTGTGCACTGGCGTTTGTCTGGTTGATCCTGAGAATGCATCCCCCTCATGACAAGGCCTCATGATAGTGTTATGAATTAAGCATATAGGCTAAAATTTCCCTGTCCTTTCCGTAGAAGCTACCCAGGTAGATGGGTCATATAAAAAGACAAGAATACAAAAACATTACATGAACAGACATTGTGACATCACAGATATTCCAAAATAAATCATAATATTACATCACCCTGCAGATGGGTGTTGTTGTCAAATGATGGGTACATTCATCTCTGCTCTCAGTGTTATTTAATGGCACTATGGAACATTCTATTTTATTATTTTACAAAATGAGAATATGTTCCAACCAATTTATTCTTTGTTTTTCCTCTGGAATTGTTTTTAAAATCTTTCCTAGGGTGTCTGAGTAAATAATCAATACAGTACAATATAGCACAGTACTGGAGTACAATTAAATTGTACTGTACTGTAACTAACAAAGCTTTATGGTAGGGTTGTACAAATTCTCCAAGAAAGGTATATCACAATATGTGGAAATGCAGATAAAGCACCATTTTTCGAATCACTAAAGCAGCTAATTCTTTTTTCAGGTTAATGTGCTGCCTCATAAGTTGCTCTTAATCTAAGAAGGATGAAAAATTTGACAGAAGAAAAATCTTGCAAAATAAGTGATGGGTGAAGTCTAAATTTTTCACTATTTGAATTCTCAATAAGAGTAATAGGAGGATAGCTATGGCTGTGTGGAGTTGGTAGTCCTGTCTCATGTCAAACATTTCTTCTGATTGCTATCCAAGTTTTAATGTGTATGATTTTTAAAGCTCAGAGATCTACCTGTGACTGGAATCTTTCCATGAAACATGGCAAACACTGGCAAAGGAAGTTTAATCTGTGGAGTACTTGGTGCTCTCTGAGCTTGGTTGTTTGTTTGCAGACGTTTTATTACCTGACTAGGTAACATCATCAGTGCTAAACTAGTTCCACAATTCATCCCTGAGCTACATATATTCTCTTCTATTGGAAGCTTAATCTATGTCCTTCAATCACTTAAGAAAACATAGTTCCATGGCAGTAAATATTATTGATGATAGCAGAATGACATGGAAAAAAACGTAATCATTTTAAAAGACAGAAAAGCAAAATGAAACTGAAAGAGAAGCTAGAATATCCATGAAAAAGTTAAAAGTAATAATTTAAAAAATGACTGGAAAACTGTGATCTGAACCTGGAGAAGTCATGTCTTACTCAGCTCTCCAAGTCGTGCCTTCTCTTTTTTACCAAACAAGCGCCCAATTGAAGACTTTATTCCTTTCTTCTTGGGAGCTTTGTGCAAGGAATCCTGGCTGCTATTGACACTGCCAAAGCCAATACTTTCTGGCTCCAGGGATGCAGTCAAACTACTATAAAACACACACAAAAGATAGAGAATTCATTATTGTCCTGATGAAGTTCCATCCAACTAGTCTGCTGTGGAAACAAGTTATGTGAAATCTAATGAGAGTGTCTTCATAATTGGAAACATCAAATTAACTGGCAGAAACCTTCTGGTGCTATCGCAATATTTAGAACTGCACAATTGCTAATTTTCATGTCTCAATAAACTTGATTGAAATGTTTCAGTTTAATAAAAATGACAGGAGATATAATTTATCTGTTAATATAACTATAGTTAGAAAGATTTTAGAATGCTTTTGATGAGAACCAAACAAATTAAATGTTTGATTAAGCAGTTTCTAAGCTGCAACTACTATTATTATTACTACTGTTTTGGTCTTATCTGAGAAATATCTATCCTAAATATAAGATGATGAAACACATTTCCTCCTACAAGGTTTGATGTAAAAGGTTTGAGTATCCTGCTGTCTCCAGTTATTGCAATGTCCACTGTCCAGACTTTTTTGTCTTTCTTATCAACGATTGTTAACTCTGGGGTGTTATGTGGCTGCTGCTGCCATTGTTCTTGTTGTTATCATTATTATTATTTAGACTGATGTATTTGTATGCTTTTTAATTGACTGTACCCCACCCTCTTTATGCTGGTCTTTAACTGTAATAAAGATTTGATTTGATAGACAGAAGAAGTGTTACAATGTCTAGGGAAAAAAAAACATATTTCAAGGACCCACTGCAATCTTATATTCACTACACTATGATCATGATGTAAAGTTTAGGAGCTGATAATGTAATTCTAAAGCATTCTGCAGTATTATTCTGTTTATTTACTCATTCTGCCCATCATCATCTATTAATTTTTTTACTTGGTGCAATAGTATGATTCTTACTAAAGCATTTTGCCTTTCAATAATAAAGTATGGAAGTGACATTATCTGTCTGTCTTTCTGTCTGTCTGTCTATCTATATGGAAAGTATTTCCTGGCAAAAACATGATGCCAGATTCTCAACTTAAAACGCTAATCATATGTATACTATTACCCACCTATGACAACTACAGAGGAGTAAGAATTATATCTTACATTATGTTGACTTACAAGTGACTCTTACTGAATATGAATAACTAAGAAGCTGTAATAAATACACATTGGGATAGGCTTCCCCCACTGGTTGCCCTCCAGATGTATTGGGATTTCAGTTTCCTGATTCCACCAATCAGAATGGAAATGGACCTACATCAAGAAGGGAAAGCAGTTCTAGGAGAACCTTCTCTGCAAAGAAGTTCAACTAAAATTTTAGGTTTTTGTTTTTCTGATTGAAGCTGTTAAGGTTAACTGTTTGTAACATATCCCTAGAGCTGTCAATACTCAGATGGTCAACTTTGTCTTTTCCTCTTATTGCTTATAAAGCCCTTCTTTAGCCATCCTTTAACTTACCTTTCTTGGTGGCAAGGGCAAACAGATACATGAGCACTAGACAGCAAAATCTCCAAACCTAGCCTTCCCAACATGCAGAAGTAAATGTTTCAATTGGGGTGAACACTTAAAAGGGAAAATAATAACTTCTTTACATTCAAACGTAAGTCCTTATACCAAAAAAACAAACACAAAACCTACCATGCATTTTTGTAATGAGTGATAAAAGACTAAAAAAGTCTAAGTCATTTTTATTATTTTTTTCTTTTTTTCAAATGCTTCTTTTTTAAAAAATTATTCCTTCTACTTTCTGAATTCATTAGGCATCCCCCGGCCCCTGGCCTTTATTACTAGGACTGAATTACTCTTTTTCTCTTGGGGTAGGACACTTCTTTCTCTGACTACTTTAGAAATATTTTCCTTCAACTGCCAATTCCCCACCCAATCTCTCTGAACCCCACTTACCAGGATGTTAACCTTCTGAGCTATAGCTGACTTTAAAAAGTCTACATTGCAACACCATAAATTATTTACAATCCTTTCTTGTATATTCAAAAAGGTTACTAGGGCTATGCAAACCTGCAGTCCTTCACAAGCACCTGTACACATTTCAGCCAAGATCCATATGTTTAGTATTTCAGTACCCAAATACTAAACTCTATCATTTAACTATTGTTATATCCAGTGATATGTGTAACCAGCACAACTAATTTTAATCACACTCTGATTTGTTCATTTGTAACCCATAAAAAGAAAATACCAGAAAACATTAGGCACCAGTTGATTATCCAAAGACAGCATGAAACTGAAGATCAGCCATTCAGATTAGACTGGAATGCATATCTGGAAAACTGATCTAAATCTATTTCAGGATAACCAAGTTTAACTAGCATGGGGTGAAAGTCATGTGGAAGTTAACTTGAAACTCATATGGATGAATCTATTAAAAAATACACAACACATGACTATGTCAAACAAACTAATTCCTACCTTCTGGCATCATTGTGGTATGAAGAAGGTAGAGTGTGAGTCATTCTAATGGCTCTAGGTGTAGGTGGAGGGGAGGTTTCACATTTTATTGTAGCTTTGTCTTCATGTCCATCTTCTTCAACTACTGCAATCTGCAAGTAAACCATTTTTATAAAATGCAGCTGAGAAACCCTTTTAAGGAGCTGGGGCGGGGAAACTGTTGGAAAGCCAACCACTTTCCAAGCAAAGGTAAGGACATCAAAAAAACAAACGAACAAATAAATAGCATTCCATTCCTAGAACAAGAGGTAGAATAAAGGTGCAAAGCACAAGTGTTTCCACAGCCATACAATTATGGCCATACAGTCCCAATTTCCAGGACTGGATATGACATTAAGCATGCATTTAGCTCTTGCAAAATTGTTATGATTATTGTTATTAAATTGAGAAACAGGTTTCCTGAGCTGGGGAGGATATGCAAAATAGGATATGGGTGGAAGTAAAGTTTATGTCACTTTCTCTCATCTTTAAGTTCTAATCCAGATTCTCTCTGTATACTACTAATAGCCAATGAACAAGATCCAAAGGCCAATTAAGGAGTTACTTATATGTCTTCTTTGCCCTTTGCCATTCAGATAAATAATGTTTGAAGTAAAATGGACATGTTGGTAGACAAGATTGGCCCCTTACATATTTTGACTTTTCTATTATTTTCTGTGAATCCAATACAACACCAGATGAAAGGCTGTTCTGATTGCCATCTTTCCTCCCTCCCCCGTTTTGATTAATTTTATATACATACATATTTGTATAAGAATGGTATAAGATACCATTCTAATTTAGGCTGTTTTATAAGATTGGTTAATTAAATAGTGAACCAATGCTGTTTTATATGTATATATACTAAATAAGAATTATTGTGAATAAAACTAGTAAAAAATGAATCTCAGCGATGGCACAAATCTAACTTATTTTGGTTAGATTTTGAGAATGGAAATTCTTGAATTTAAGTTAGCTTTTAGCTAGTCTTGTTTATTTATTATTTTATTTATGAAATTTATTACCTACTTTTCATCACTAAAAATAATTTTAGAGCAGAGTTAGAACATAATAAAAGCATAAATATTTACAGCAGGCGAAACCATTTTACTGCAAGAATAGGGGAGGCAACAGCAAAGAAGCTGTAGTAGAAATTCAGCAAAAAGTGAACATGGGAAAAAAAAAGAGTGTCTAGTGGATGATATGTCTGGTTTCAGTCATTAATTAACATGTACAGAAGTCCACCACCACAAGGAGGATGAGGAAGCTCACAAAGTGACTTTGATCCAGTCACTATTTCTCAGACCAACATACCTCACAAAGTATAAATTGGAAAAAGGACACTTCCAGGGGAAAGGTGAGATATAGTTTAATAAATATAAACAAAAATATACCTTTTTCAGCTGTCATATAATTAATTTCTAATAGATGTGACATATGGTCTTTTCTTAACACTTATCTAAGAAGGGCTGTTTTGTTAAAAATCTTTGGTCCAATGTGGGTTTCCTGAGAAGCGGGTGATCTCTTCTTGGATCATCCAGATGATCTGCTTCAACTAGAATGAATTAAGCTATGAAGGGTTGGGACTGAAAGAATTTCCACATCCTCAGAAAACCATATCTTGGGGAAAAAAGTATTTGTAAAGCCCTGAATCTGAAAGATGCTAGAAATAATTAACCTCTGTCAGAAAAAGAAAAGAAAAAAGAAAAGAATAATGTATTTTTAAAAAGTATACCTTTCTTCGATGTTTCCTGAGATCACTTGGCTAGAGTTGATAATGAAGAAAAGAAAAACAGAGTATTATCAGAATGATTTATTATTTTTTATAAATCCTGTGTTCCTTTCTATTAAGATCCATATTAAAATTTTCTAATCCATATGAACTGTTGGCTCTTCTGGTGAAATGTCCTTCCGTTCCACCAACCCAGCTGCCATTGAATCCAAAATAAAATATGGTTGGTATCCAAGGAGGAAGAGGAGGAAGAGTGGACTGGGTTTTCACTTACATTTATAGTTTTAAGAAATATCGTTAACATTTAAAAAATCTGGTATTATACTAGAAATAACAAACTGAAGTGATAGCAAGTGTCTTTATGTCAGCAGCTTAAAAATACATTCTGTTTTTATTATTTACTTTATCTTCTATTAACACTAGGAATTGGTCCAAATCAAAAATTTATAATGATTTGTGTTAATAGTTAATAAGATATTATTACATACATACATACATACACACACACACACACACAGATACCAAAAGACGAATGCCCCCCAAAAGAGGGAAGAAACAAGAAATGAAAGATAACCCTATGTAGAGAATTCCTTAGCTATTAAATAAACCTAGCAATCAGCAGAAAGCTGTACTTCTTACCAGTGTCATGATGCCCATCCGATCCATCTCCCTAGCTGGGCTGCGGGGAGTGAGTTTAGGAGTTGAGTGCCCACTGGGAGGAGAGGAGCTTGCTAGCGAAGATGCGGTAATTGAGCCAGTGATAGATGTTCCAGGATGAACCCTTGCCAGATTTAAGCCTTCTAGACTCACACTAGCAACTCTATTTTCTATTTCTTCAGCACGCAGTTCTGTGGATTCTTTTTCTTCCTGGATTAACCTGTAATAGTCAACCAAGACACAGCTAAAATGCAGTCATTTTCATGAGAATGTTGTTTTGTTGTGTTAATAGGAGTTGTAATTGTTCTCCCTGCCTGTTACCCAGAACACCTTACAGGAGTGGAATACTTTCAAAGGCAAATTGGAGTAATTACCACAAGTGGCAGAGATTGGGAAATGACTGCAAGGAGGAGTTTGGAGGAGAGAGCTGTGTATCATCTATCCTGTCCTTTGCCCTCTAAGCTAATATGCTGTCACCTAAAATAATGGAGATGGAGTTTCTAGGTCAGTGCCCAAAATTTAATTGCCATCTTTAAAAATAAATTTGTATAATGAATTTGAGGGGTGACCAGCAACAAATATTCATGTTTCGATTTTCCATCTTTTAACAATTCTTTTTAAAAGTAGCCATGATGGGCACAAATTGCATCAGGAGGGATTGAACTGCTGGGATGATAGTTTAATTTTTTATTTCATATCATTTCTGGTTGCATCCACCAATTGTTATTTTCCCTTTTGCGAAAAATATGCTGTGCTTGTATGCTTTTATTAGAGAGGCTGAACAGGATTTCCAGGGGAGAACTTTATCTCAAAACAGTAGCATGGGGAAAAAAGTTACTATCTTCCTTTCTCTATTGCCACAGTCACAACTGTCTATTTCTTAGGGTTATGTAACTGTATAGTAAGGAGTAATTTGGCATATTCCTCTTTTAGCCATGGGAATCTCTTTTTCAATGCATTAAACATCCTGGGCATCCAGAGGAGCAAAATATTAATACTGTTTTAACTTTGATCTTAGATTTTTGCTTGCCTAGAATTTTCTAAGAACATTCAGAGACTAAGAAAGGCTCACAAAATGAACAAAGAATTCAGCAAGTTTTCTAAGGTCATCCTCTGTATCCTTACTATATTTAGGTTTCCTCATCATTTTCTATGTCAGTCCCTGCCAGATACTTCAGCTTTGATAAACCCTAACTATAATCAGGTCTACAGAAAGCTAATACATTTTAATTTGGGGAATTTGCAGAAAGGTACCCTATATTGATAATTAAAAAAAAAAATCCAGAAGAAGGCGATGGCAAACCACTTCCATATTTTTTCAAAGAAAACCGTATGTCCATGAAAAAAAACAGAAATCACATTGACTTAAAAAAGGTTTTACCTTACTAAGGGGACAATACATTGGATTGTTCTATGATTGATTGATTGATTGATTGATTGATTGATTGATTGATAGATAGATAGATAGATAGATAGATAGATAGATAGAGTAATGTACCTGATTTCTTTATTGATTGCATCTAGTTGTTCCTGAAGCATCATAGCAAGGGTCTGAGCATCGGAATGTCCACTTGGTGACAGAAGGTCCATTGAACTAAAAATTGTATCTCTATCATCATCATCTATATCAGACATTTCAGTGTCGCTCTCAAAAGGATGGCTGCTTAGAACTCCAACTGGTTGATTTCTATTCCAGTCATGATCTCCAAGGGATTTTACCTAATTACAAATTGTAGAAATGCATATAGATCAGTCTAATTCTAAAAGTTAATTTTCACAGAACAGCTTACATTTTAAAACACTACTGAGGTTATTAACACCTTTCAATTTTCTCACGCCATTTGTACACTTAAACTATTCTTGTTAATTTCTAACAGCTGCATTATGATATCACACTGACCTTCATTTCAATCTGTTATAAAAATACCAGGTATACAGATTTATCTTACAAGAGGCCCAAAATAGTTTAAGCCAGGAAGTGTGAGGGTTTTTTTCCCCTGTACTGGTGACCATTAGCATTGTAAGACAATTTGGGTTCACAGTACAATATAATGGATATCCCAGGATGATATGAAATTAAAGGTAAGATTTCTAAGGACTATACTTTGATTTTTTAAAAAATGCTCCAATAAACTGAAACTACACTGGAAACGTAAACCTTCATTAGGTCTTGTTTATGGCTTCCAATCCAGTAAAAGAAACAGAATAAGGGAAGCTAATGTTTCAAGATTTGGCCTGAGGAAATTGCCTAAAGCAGAAGATTTGGATGTTATAAATAGCAAATGGGTCTACTCCATTTCTTTTTATTGTACTTTTACTAGGAAGTGCATTTTATGTTTAATATTAAATTAGAATTGTATTATTACTGTAATCTTAAGTCCAGAAATAAGGAATCCTACTTCTCCCTCCAATATCAAAATTGTTTTATAGTCTTTAGATATGCACTTTGCCTTGGCTGACTGAGAGATAATTTGCTGCTTTCAGACAGGGCCAGATTATCTGATGGGCACAACGACACAGTGTCCACGTATATGAAGCTCTTGGGGGTTTCCAAAAGGTTTTTTAATCATCTCTTTGGGCCTAAAACCTTTTTTAAATTAGAAAGTGCCCACACACACACACACACACACACACACACATATTTTTCTACCTTTTAAATATATGAATAACAAAAACAGAGGCACGTGTTTGAGATATGTAGCCATATCAATTGGATGAATAAATAAATCGATGATCCTATCATATAATCCACATGATGTATATAATTAGAGCTATTATCTATAGGAGTATCCAAGGACTATGGAAAGTTAATTCCAGCCTTGGCCTCAGTCAGCAAAATGTCTTAAGTTAGCTGTGCTTATGACTGTAATCTTATTAAAGAAAAATGTTATAAAATATAAACCTTTGGTTCATCTCTTCGGATTCCCATACGACCTCTTCTAGGTCTCCTTATCACTTTAGTAGACCTATAATCTGGTTGACTATCAACTAGTGAGCTCACAGAGTACCTCAGTTCTGCTGATGAATCAAGATGTGTTCTGAAAAACAATTGTGGCAGAGGATTTAGATTAAAAAAAAAAAAGACTCAAAATTTCACTTAAAATATTTTTTTTACATGCAGAGGATATCATCCTAGAATTTGTTACAGATCAATAAAAATAGAATATGCTTCTTGCATACTGAAGGGAATTGCTTTGTAAAGTATTTTAATGAAAAAGGAAAAATCAAAGTGCAATATATTTTTCTGAAAGACTATGGTTCTTATTGGCAGAAGAATCAGACTGGAATTGGACAGTCAAAGGCTAAAAACTCAAACTTCAATTCACTGGCAATTTGAGTCCCTCCCTCCCTCCCTAACATGCGCGCGCGTGCACACACACACACACACACACACACACAGAGGCATCTACTTAAGAGGAAGCCATAAGGATTAAAATTGGATCATCCCAACATAAACTAGAAATGCTAGGAATTTGTCCTTTCTGTACTGACTTCTGAGATTAACATGCAGACTTATTTATCTGTTTGTTTGTCAAATTTCTAGGGTGCCAAACTCCAAAAATACCATGGGGAGCTTCGCAAGATTAAAAAAAACAACATTATATATAAAAACAGCACACAATATTATATAAGAGCACAGAAATCAGCTGAGGGAACAATACAACATATTTCCACATCACTCCTCAACTAAAAGGGGTCTGTTGCAAACATCTTAAACCAAGGCCTTGGGGAAAAAAGAAGCTTTAGAGACCACTTGAAGACAGGCAAGATGGGGGCCTTATGGATTTCAAAGGAGAGATGCAGTGACAGAGAGGGCTCATTTCCTGAGTACTGATAGCTGACACAGTTTAATCAACAAGACCCAAAGCAAGTCAACACCTATGAATTTTGCACTGCACCTCTCAATTAAAAAACTTATTTTAGGACAACATATGCACAGAAGCATGCATTTAAAAAGAAATCATTTTTAGAAATGTATATTTAGTGGCAAAATGTCATCAAGAGAATGTACTTAATGAACATTTTCTTATAAAGTTGTTAAGTAACAACTTAGTATAAAATTGAACACAGTTTATGAAACAACCCATGTGAAAATGAATATACCAGAAATCTGATCGATCTGTGACATTTATAAATTGATCTGAATTCCATGAGAAAAAACAGGAATACAGATGTAATTAATAAATGAGGTTTATCTGTTTCATTTCCTATTAAAAATGTTCCAAGAACTAAAAAATAAAATAAAAGCACCAATAAAAATAAACCCAAAAACATATTAAGCAAAAAGGTAAATAATAATACAAGTTCCACGCTTCCTCCCAACCTATGATTCTATGATCTTGTGATTCATTTTCATAACTGATTTAGCTGATAGTTGTTTACTTCCACAGTTATTGAACTATATGGTTAGATGGGCAGCCACATAAATATGATTAAAGAAATACTTCTGTGTCACAAGGATGTAAACAGTTACAGCTCTGTTCCACTACAGCTTCCTAGCTGCTGATATTTAAGACGTGCTACTGAGTTTGGAGATAAACACCAGCTATCTAATAGTCATGATACCTCTATTCTCTATCCTCAGAGAAGCATTCTAGTCCCTTTTAAAGCTATTTAAATTAGTGGCCCTTATCATATCTGGTGACAGCAAATTTCACAATTTAACAATCCTGCAAACAGTAATCAAACTATCAATAATCCATTATGGGTGAAGAAAAGTGTTTTCAATATATGATTATTGAAACATATCAAAATAATTTTATTAAAGAAAATGTCATTATTTTCTTGTGCTACCTTGACAATGTGGGCTCAATTAAAGAACCTGCTCGTATTTTCAACTGGTCAAGTTCAGCTCTCAGCTTGTCTATCTCTTCTGCTAATCTTTCCTGAAAGTTGAAACAATAATAAAGATTAACATAGATATATGGTACTTTAAAAAATATTTATCAAACTTTATTGTCATATAATATCAGCCCTCTGAATAGTTGAGTTCTAGAAAAATCTACATGAGTTACCTAGCCTTCCCCCAGTACAACATCTGGATGATCTTGTCTGGGCTTGGAAGCTAAGGACACTCAAGTCTTGTTAGTATTTAAGATGGAAGACCAGTAGGGAATCTCAGCCAGTACACTAACCTGGATGGGGTAGTTGAAAACATCCCAGAAAAAGGCAATGGTTACTACTTCCCTACTGTGGTGTCTTCTAGATGTACTGTTGACTCCCACAATCACTATCTACTAGCATGCTGCCTTAGAAATTATGAAAGGCAGAAGGCACTAGGTAGGGGAAGGGTCACTTAGACTAAATCTTTATATATGGATATTTGTTACTGGAATACATGTGTAGAAGAACCATTAAAATCATCTGATAAAACATGCCTACAGATCTTCTGACAATACTGAATTATTAACAAGGGATTTGTGGACAAAATTGGTGTTGTTAAGTATGTTCAACTGCAACTTTCATCTTCAGTGCAGAATGATGAGAGATGGACCAATTCATTATGTACAGAGAACTGATCTGGAGTAGCATCATTAATGAGCCTGGAGATTCCAAATGTGACAAATAGAAAACTGGAAATACTCTTCAAATATTCTAAAATTGTTGCATTTTCACCAAATTTACATTCTTTCTTCACTATTTTAAAGAATTTTAATACAGGAACAGCTTACAATAAAGGCATCGACCCAACTAAAACTAGCTGTCACCAAGTCAGTTACAAGCAATGAGGCTTTTATGTGTAGCTGTTGGTAATTTTTCCAGTGGGATGCTTACTGTTATCAAGATGAAGTACAAAGGGTGAGCTTTCTCATTAAAAAAGTATAGCCTAATATAACAGTTTGAGCTCAGATTTGTTATAGGATAAAAACACTGGCCTTAGTGGAGATCTACATTATTAGTAAGCTAGTCTGTTAACAGAAATATAATCTAGAAACATTTGTCAAATATAACTCAAATGTTAGTGAAAGTAAAAGTCAGTTAAAATACAGAGGATTTTATATACTAGTCCTTACATCAGTTCTGGCTTCCTGAAACAAGTCTATTTTTCCCCTTGGGAGAAGTATTTTCAGTGACTTCCTCAATTTAGTTTACTACAGATTCTCTTCCGCTCAAGGAATCTCTCCAGAAAATAACCACCATTCATACACTCCCTTGCTCTCGCTCTTTTTTTTTTTTTTGTATCTATAATGGTTTGTATTATTTAGGTTATGACTTAGTGAATCTGTCTGAATTGCATTTACTAATTTGGCATTTTTCTTATTCTTATGCATAGTTTAAATAAAAACAGTATTTAAAAAAGAAAGAAAAAGGAACTTCTCCAAAACTTTGTCACAACTTGGCATTTAAATGGTTTAGAGTACTCTTCTCCTGTGCTGACTTTCAAAATGCAATATAAACAAAGAGAGCCAATACAGCAGGTGGTTAATGCATTATGCTAGAATTGCACAGGCCCCTAGTTAAATTTCAGTTGAACCAAGAAGCTTACTGGGTCACCTTGGGCCAATCACTCCCTCTGGGCCCATCCAACATGATAGGACTATTTATGGGAGATAAAATGTACGTTGCCATAATATCCTTGACCACGTTAGAGCAAATGTAGCTTACTGATACAATAAAGGAACAAATAGTAGAAATATAGCCATATGCATCACAGAAGTTTTGTACTTTCAGTGGGGATGGATAGGAACTCTAATCATATTTCTGTTCCAATCCCTGCACCCCTACAAACTCTGCTCCTGATATGTAAGGGATTTGATACAACAGAGGGAGGAAAGGAAATCACCAAAGCTGGGAATGTTGGAAAAAGTGTCTGTTTACATGAATGAAGTATGTCTGGATTCATATGAAATCCAATCTAAAGATGAGACTTTTATCAGAAAAAGAATCCTGTTCTGTTAAGAACAGTCTATATATATAGATAAGCATAAATGGAAGGAAGGACCACACTTTGTATTCTTTGGATGAGCACATTAAATAACAACACTGTAATGTCATCATGTCCTGGACAGATGTTGAATCCATCTATTACTGTTCAGTATTTCTTTTTCTAAGGACAATTGTCTTACTCTCAAATAATTGTGTATATAACTGTGGCCTAGGATTAATTCTTATGATTAGTTTTTTTAAAAAAACATTCAGCTGCTAGGTTTATTAATAAAGACTGTAATTTATCTAGAATACCTTATCATGTAAAGATTCTTCCAAATTCTTTCTGAAGCTTTCTGATTCTTGTATTAAAACATTCTAGGAGGGAGAAAATAAAAGCTACAATAAGATCTAATGAAATAATTATTACCCAATCAAGGTTAACAAATAAACACATATCAATGATATTTAAAGTATTTTTATCTCTAACATATAGGTTTATTGTTAAAAGTCCTTCATTAATTCAATCCAAGTCTGAATATGTTAAAAGATACTCCCACTAATATTAAAATTTCAAAATTGATGCCAACATATGATTAATATTGTAAAATTAAGAGACTGATTTCATTGGTGACCTATAGGTATTGCCAGTTACATTCAATCAGAGCAGGTAAGAGGGGATACCTGCAAAAGGGTGGAGATATTGGATAAGAAGCATGAATTACCTCCTGATTCCACTAGCTCATTTCCTTCCCCACTGTCCACTCACACTGAAGAACTGAGACAAATTATAGTTTCACATCGTAATAAGCATTGTATAATGGATAAGAGTATCTCAGAGGAACACTGACTGTCTGTAGTGACGACACACTGCTGTTATCGTACCATAAGAATGGGACTCTACCTAAAGTGTTATGGAAGTGAAAGCAGTGACAATGAGACACTAGAAATGGGCAAGAACCAACTAGCGGCATACTGTTGGCTTTTAAAACTCTGGTGGTGGTCCTGTGCGCCATTATGGAAAGCTGATGAAGGAAGAAAGTCACCAGGGACTGCAGAAACAAGACGAGAAGAATTTCTTGTTGGCGCAATGGGTTGTGCCCCAGATTTTTTAATGCCTTTATTCCATAGGATCAAGTGAAAAATAAAAATAACTATGAACATGAAGCAATCAGCATGCAGATTATTTGCTCATTTTTTACCTTTTCTTCCAACGCTGCCATTCTCTCTTTCAAATGTAGCTGCAAACGTTCATTAGATTCTGTCAAAAGTCTGTCCACAGTATCAGACAATCTTTTGTTATGCTCTTCATTCATTTTTTCTCTTTGCCTTGCCTTTCAATAAAGTTCAAAGGAAATAAAGCAAGCAGTTTCAACATTAATTAAAACCAAAATACTGGTCAAAGATTCATATTGGCTTCTTTGATCTCAAGTCACAGTATTAATGCTGTGATAAAATGGCATGCAGAAAAACAAATGCTGAAACAGAATACAACTGAGCAACTGAATAGAGAACTGAAAAATTTAGTAGCTGAAACATTCAGTCATATATTCAACTATAGATGAAAGGGTTAACCATTCTGATTTTTTTCTTCCAATAGAGGTATGTGGCCTTCATTTGCTATTCCTATTCAAAAGCACACAGTGATTTTAAATCAAATGTTTAGAAGTGCCACAAATAACCATACATTGCACTGTGGGCTGTTTCTGTTCAGAGTTCCAGCTAGCCAGCTACTCCCATTTCTAGTATACATCATTTCATTCAAGGGTTCCTCCAACATGCATTTAGTGTTTTGTGGTCAATACATAAGCTCAGTCTCATGGCTTTGTTTGGATAGATTTTTCCCCTTTGTTTTATCCTCATGGCTCCTTCCTCCCTTTCTTCTGATATTTTTCCACATTTTGGGATGTACCTAGACTGACACCTCTTTCCTTTGTTTTGGATACGTAGCCACCAGCACTCTGCACCTGAGTGGTTAATTAGAAAGGTTTTGTTAAAGATTACCACAGGAGCCTGATTTTTTTCCCAAAGCAATGGATATTCAGCATTTTGAAAATAGTCTCATGAGCATTCACTTCATGGTTCATGGTTGTGATTTCAACTTCCCTTTTTCATGTTCACTTCTCATGAAAATACAGTAAATTTTGTGTAACAAATGACTGATGCCACTTGATTAAGCTATTATTAGTTCTATGTATTTATATATTTCAAACTATTGCATTTAAAGTGTTTTTAAAAAAAAAATTAATAATATTTTTTTTTATATATATTAACTGTTTTAAAGTCTTGTTGTATGCCTCCCAGAGACACTTTTGTGTGAG